ACCCTTAACCCTAAACCCTACAGGCAATACCGCTCAAAATTCGACAGGTTCCATTGCGTACTGACCTCCAAATTCCCAAGCCCAAGGCCCCAAGCCAACGCACCACAAACCGAAACCAGCAACTTTAGTTTAGGGTTTAGGGTTTNNAGGGTTTTGGGGTTCAGGGTTCAGAGTTTAGGGTTTTGGGGTTTAGGGGTTTGTTTTGGGGTTTAAGGTGTAGGTTTCAAGGTTTTCTCAAGTTGGCGTAGATCCACTAACCACGCCCCTGAACGTGAAGCGCGCCCATCCTTGAATGTGCTTCGGGAATTTCCCGCAATTCGGCATCCGTTTTGCGGGGGCGCATACGGAGGATCTCATCCTTCGTGCTGTGTAAGAGGCAGCCAATTTTTTCCAAGCAGCATGCAACGCATTTCATACTAGATACTGGGTTGCTGTTAAGGAACTTAAATTAAATTACCATAATGGGTATATATAGTAAATAATAGGGTTTCCCCCAATATAGTAACTTAAATTCAGTTCCTTAACAGCAACCCCGGATAGGAAAGAAAAACCTCAACTTTGAGCCAGGCAACATCCTTACATTTGTGTCTCGCAACAAACACACCTCGCCCCTAAACCGTAGATCCCTATAGTATCCCACATTCCATTTCATCTTCCCTTTCCTGGCTCTCTTCCTTCTCCATTACGCCGTGTTTCCTAGCAAGCTCACCTAGTTCTATTCACCCCTGTCGCACGTATATCTCCGAATATACCTTCATAGGCCCCTACAGCTCCCATACCTGCAGACCTAGCCCCCCAACCCCTCCACCCCCAAACCCTTAAACCCCTAGGCCCCTAAACCTCTAAACCCCTAAAATCTTAAACCCCTAAACCCTAAACCCTACACCCCTAAACTCTAACACCCCTAAACCCTGAAACCCTTAACTCTAAACCTAAACCCTAAACCCCTAAACTCCAAAACCCCTAAACCCTTAAACCCTAAACCCTAAAAATCGGTGCTCCGACCATATTGCCAGGCCTTGGCGGCGTTCATGACCTTTGGGCACAGAACTCTGAGGAGGCGACAGGATTAGGGTTTAGGGGTTTAGGGGTTTAGGGTTTAGGCTTTAGGGTTTAGAGTTTAGTTTTTTTTGGGTCTAGGGTGTAGGAATCTTTGGGTGTTGTTGGGTGTAGGGTTTAGGGTGTGGAGTCTGCTTTTCGCGGGTTCTTCTTAGACTTCCAGAGACTTGATGACAAATCGTAAGCTCAGCCTGTGCGTATACATTGAAACTACAAGCTCGAAGCTTTTTACGATAAGCATGCGCGTACAAGTACAGACCTGGATTTGGGATTGACTACCGTTGATACTAAAAATCCTGCATGACCTTAATGTACCATAGTACCATAATTCCCACTATATAAGGTACTTAGGGTCATGCAGCCCTACACCCTAAACCCTAAACCCCTAAACCCCTAAACCCCTAAACCCTAAACCCTAAACCCCTAAACCCCTAAACCCTAAACCCTACATGCAGGATTTTTAGTATCCACCGCAGGTCCTGCTTCATGGCCTAAGGCCTAAGGTTTCCGGTGGTTTCAAAGGCCTGGGTTGGGAATGGAGGGTACCTCATAGGTTGGTTGCTTAGGGTTGAGGTTGGGTTTTCTTGGTTTAGGGCCTAGGGACCTTAAACCCTAAACCCTAAACCCTTAAACATAGAATTCTGAGGAGCCAGAAGGGAAACTTCTAGGGGGGTTTTGGGATTGGGGTCTAGAGTGTTATTAGGGTGTAGAATTCAGGGTCTGGAGTTTGCTGTTAAGGGCTTGGGTGGTAAAGAGGTACCTGAAATCCTAAACCCGAGACCTTAAAGCCCTAAACCCCTAAACCCTAGTCCCTAAACCCCTAAACCCCTAAACTCTTCAGGGTTTAGAGTTTAGAGTTTGGTATTCAGGGTTTTGGGGCTAGCGCCTGCTTAGGGCTTAGGGTTAAGGGTGTAGCAGAGTTGCTCAATGTTTCGGGTCCCCTTTTTTGGGTTTAGGGTGTGAGTACTCAAAAGAAGAGCCGTGTTACCACGGGCATGTAGGCGTGCGCTAGTGGAAAGGCATAGTCACATGGGGATTGTTCTAAAGGTCCTGGCAAAGAAAGGGACCGTCGGGAATACACTTCCTTAACAGAGGATCCTGACCAAACATGGAACCTAAATTATGGCCAGTTTGGGGACTAACCTATTTTGACCAATGTGTACTTTAGTCTAAAATCCTTAAAGGGGATTACCTAGGGGGCTATATAGGGGATTATATAGGGGGGGTATATAGGGGAGTATAATAGGGTTTACTAAGGGGGATACTAGGAGTTGAGACCCTAAACCCTAACTGTGAAGAGTGAGGTGCACAGCCCTTAAGGTGCATGCGTCATGCCACCAGAGGTAGTCCTAAAGTGACTATGCTCAGTGGTATCGGTGGGCAGAAGTTGACTGTTGTTGCCGAGTAGTTTTTGCCGCTTACAGAGTTTATGATTGCACAAGGGTTTAACGTCAGCAAGAAGTGGCGTTCGACTCCGCGCTGCATGAAGCTGCGTAACTTCGTGGACTTGTTGGACCGGAAGTCGTGGATAAGCCGATGAGCGTCCCAGCTCTCCGCAAGGGGCAGCCATGCACAAGGCTGCTGTTAGTGAGCCCTGTGTGCACTGTGCCATGATGCATGACGTGGTGGTCCGAAGGAGACCTTGTTCTCGTCGCCCTGAATAAGGGTGGCCACCAGCAATTGGCAAGGCACAAAGTTGGTGGGAAAGAAGCAGAACTGCGCAAGGAGTGCTTGAGGACCTTGCCTTGGCAAGTGACGGCACTGGACTTGTGTGGGAGGCAGAAAGTCAACCCAGCAAGGGAGGCGGTCCCAGAGCAAGGACCGCGGTGGGAGATAGCCACAAGCCACATGAGTGCACCTCTGCCATGGTTGAGGAAGGCCAGGACGCCCAGAGAGGCAGGAGCGTCTTCATGCACATTTGCGCGCAAAGTTTGCGTAGATGTATGTTGGGCCCTCGAAGTGGTGCCGAGCACGGTGATTCTTGAAGCCTTGGCTAACGCCAGGTGGAAAGCATAACCGAGTGAGGGCTTGCGTAGCCGGCCCACCGCCGGGGGAGCCGGAGATAGGAACAGACTGTGACATTACGAGCGCTTGCAACCTGCAGCCTGGACAGCAGGTTGGGGGGAGTGTGAAGAGTGATGTGCACAGCCCTTAAGGTGCATGCGTCATGCCACCAGAGGTAGTCTGAAAGTGATTATGCTCAGTGGTATGGGTGGGCAGAAGTTGACTGTTGGCGCCGAGTAATGTTTTCCGCTTACACCCTAACCCTGAGGTCTAAACCCTGTTTTATAGGGGTTATTAAGGGGCATACTAGGAGTTTAGATTATAGCTCATATGGACAACTATACAGCATCACCATAGCGAGGAGCCTTCCGGATCCCCGAATCCTAAAGCTCAGGGCTTAGGGTTTAGGGCTTAGGGTTTAGGGGATCAGGGGTTGAGGGCTGAGTGGCTCAGAGGTTTAGGGAACTAGGGCTTAAGGTTTAGAGATTTACTACGGCTTAGAGGTTTAGGAGTTTAGGGCTTAGGGTCCAGGGATTTAGGGGTTTAGGGGCTTAGGGCTTAGGGTTTCGGGGGTTTTAGGGTTTAAGGTTTCCACTTGGAAAGTTGAAGGCCGATGTCAAGCCGGTTTTCATTGCTGTGGACAGCTGGCTTTTCTATTGCGGGCTCGTTTGGGCTACGCAGGAGTGTCTTATGGGAAACAGCCCAGCAGGAACTAAGGAGACTTTAAGAGGTGCAGTTTATGTACAGGTTAAGCATCATGGCTAAGGGTATTTGCCAACATCGTCAGCCTTTGTTGAAAATGGGGGGGAGGGGGGAATATTTCTGATTAGCGGGGTGGGGTAGGTCGTTTGGGCGAAGGGACAATGGCGTTTATTTCGTTACGGATTGTCGAAGTCCTGGGTCCCAAGCCCTGAGCCCTAGCAGCCAATTCAATAACCAGAAACTTTTTTGTAGTCCCCCTTCAGTAGATAGAATATGGCGTTGGGTATATTATCATAAGACCCCCCATATATACCCATATTCTATCTTCTTAAGGGGGACTATAGAATTTTGGGTTTAGGGCTTGGGGTTCTTGCCTAGGAAGTGCCTGTTTTGGGAACACACATTGCCATTTTTGGTTGTATTGTTCGCCAAACGAGCCCCATACAGTGTCATGATCCTTTTTGTAATTTCCACAGGTTCCTACGGATGACTTGGCAAAGAGGTTGACAACCGGGACAGCTGGGTTAACATTGGTTAACTGTTTTGCAGTTTTCGGGTTGCATGCACGAAGAACCCCTCCAGATCCTAAAAGTAGGGTCTCAAAGGCACCCCAGAAGAGTCCTGCTGGTTTCCCCAAAGTATGACACCTGTCGCCACGTCATAACCCCGTCGGGACTTTCTATCATTCCGGGGTTCAATGTCTCATGGTTTTTCGCAGCAGCGGCCAATGTAATACCAAGGATAGAGTGATCCCCGCCCTAATGCTGAGCCCTGCCCCCTTGCCCAACGATAAACAGCTTGCGGGGAAAGCGGATTAATCTTGGACCTCAATCCCCGTATTGCCCGCAATCATGCTGTTCTTGCACCTTCACAGTCCTTCCGTGGGCAGAACTTGGGTCCTGACTAAGTAGGAATTTTATGGCACTCTAGAGTGGTATTTTATGCGGCGGTACTATAGCCCCAAGATACAGAAGATCATGCCTCCCCTTCGGTTAAAGTATTTATATCCAGAAGGTAATCTCACTTGGTTCAAACACACGAACATGAAGTTTACTAGTGTTACAGTACCTATAGGAGAAACAATGGGGGAACATTACCCCAGACCCGAAGGCAGTTATAACCTGGGATAACTTGGGTGATTTCCTACTGAAAATCTTTACAAAGCCATTTTCGTCACTAGCGGGGCTTGCTATTAAAGGGAGGTAAGGACCACCCTGTGACTGAGTTTCGCTTAAAGGGGAGGGGAGGAATGGATCCCGACAAATACACACATCAGCCCTGAACCCTAAACCCTGAAATCCTCGAACCCTGAAATCTTCAATCCGTACCTATCTTCCTAAGTTCCCTCCCCGCTCCCCCGTAAAACTAGTAAGATGCAGGTGTGCATGCTGTAGACGCCTGAAGAGTTACCGAGAGGGTTATACGGCATATATGCATGGAGATTGGGGTTTAGGATTTACGTAAACCCTAAACACAATTCCAACATGGTAGTCCTAAATTCCTTGTACAGACGTGGTATGGGGTGCCTCCAAAGGATCTTTACCTGATAGAGGGAGTTATCTAGGCCCCTACAGTAGCTGAGCTCCTTGTACTCATTCTGGTAAGTTGTTTAGGGTTTTAGGTTTGGGGGTATGATTAGGGTTGAAGATTTTCATTGTTTGGAGTTTGTTATCTTTTGGGTTTGCCTGGTTTTCGAGGCCCGCGGCTCACAGTAATGGGGTTCCTGGGTCTTAACTTCCAGGCCCTTCGACGGATTTTTTTAAACATCTCGCGCGGTGTGTCGACCCCCGTGTTGTGATATCGGAATGGATACAATGTTTGCACTGGCATTTGCAGTTATCGCAAATCTGCGAGTGGAATCGCAGCGAGGTGACGTGCTACGCACACGCGTGACAGTGCCATGAAAACAGCGCAAGCTAGCTTCTTTCAAGAGCCAAAGAAACTGCGACCTGTTTTCAAGGCCGCATTACGGGCCTTTCTGAGTCTCAACAACTCGCCTTAGAGATATTTGTTGGAAAATCTTGGCAGGCCTACATAGTGGGGGTGGCTTACATTGCAAAGTTATTTTGGGAAGTGTTTGAGAACAACGCAGATTTGTCTACCCAACTGAGGACCCAGATTAGGGGCCCATACTTTTAACATTGGAATCTGAGATTGGGGAGTGTTCCGGAAATCAGGGGTCTTATCTTGAGGGTCCCGAAATAGGGATTTTAATGTTGGCGGATGTGTCTTGCGGTCTCCTTATCTTTGGAAACTACCACTTCTACTTATAACTCCCGAAAGCCCTAAACCCTACACCCAAAACCGAATGCGCCTCTAAGGCGCGGACAATTGAAGGTTACTCAAAACAGGAGGTCCTAGGAACCCTGGGATGTATCAGGATGTACGGTTAGGGATGATGTATGCCTTCTTATGGGTTATATATAGAGTTTCACTGGGATTACACAAGATAATGTGGGGTATAGAGGTCTGGGGTTTCACCGCTTGTAAATTCAAAGGTAGTTTAGGGTTGTAGGGGTCCTGCGCGATGGGCCTGGGTGCCCATAAGCCCACAAAGGCAGATACGGTTTACGGTTTGGGCTTTCAGTGCTTAGGCCTTGTTAAGGAATGTACCTCAAATCACAGCAGTTCCCAACATCATCTAGAGCACCTGCTTTAGATTAAGGGGTCGAACCTTGTATAACCTTGATACATCCCACCAAGCTTTAAAACCCAAACCCTAAACCTCATGCTAAACCCTAAACTTCAAAAAAGTCGGAATCCTAAACCCCAACCCTAAATCCAAATCTTAAGCCCTAAGCCCCAAACCCTAAACTCCAACATAGGCTACATAGTACTATATAATATGTGTAGAAGGATCCTAGGTTTTCTGGATCTAGGTTGGGGATCCTTTATATGTACTGTAGTCTAAACTCCTTAAAGGGTGGTTATATAAGGGATTATACAGGGAACTATTATAGGGGTTACTTAGGGGGATACTAGGAGGTTAGACTACAGCTTATATGTTTTGGGGCATGGGGTTCCTGATAGCTATGTAACAAGGATCCTTTTTTCTTCCTAGAGTAACGCGGGCTAAGAATCCCTAACGGAGGCCCCTGGTTTTAACGGTAGATAGGTAACAGGACCTAGGTTTTTTTAGTTGGCTACATTTGCCGGGGTTTGAAAGCAAAGTACGTGTTCCCAGACAACCCTCTTTTGCACATGAGGGTTTTCGGTCCCTCTTGGTCGGTTTTCGAGAAGTAGGGTCAGAAGCGCCCAAAAAAAACCCTCCTACTTGTAGCCTGAGTTGAACCTCCATGTAGTTCCCTAAGCTCTAAACCAGACATTAAGCCCTAAACTCTGAACCCCTAAGGCCTGAACATTACCTTCCTCCAAAGCAACTTGGAAGCTCCTGCATAGCCGCTGTTTGAGCCCTAGTCCATAAGCCAAGCCAACCCAAAACCCTTAGCCCTAAAGCTTAGACCCTAAATGGGGGTTTCCCAAAATTAGGGGTCCGTTTCTGGGGGACCCTATGCTAAGGATTACAATATTTTGGGGGTTATATTGGGGTCCCCTTATCTTGGGAATCTACCAAATCGCAGCACCGCCCAAATGGGCTCGCCAGGCGTCTTGGCTGCGATCTTTGGTCGCATCTTGCGTCCTCAGCGCTCTGGAAGGCATCCTCCTGCTGCTTGGGGGAGGTTGTATAGGATTTAGGGTTTAGGGTGGAATGCACAGGGATCAGGTAGGGATTCTGCAGGGGCCTTATAGGGGTTACATTGGGGCTTAATACAAATTATGTGGAGGTCCAAGACCTAATTTTGTTCTTGCTTACCCTAAGCCTTGGCCCTTAGCCGACAACCCAAAAGCGTAAACCCCTAAACCTCTAAACCCAAACCCTAAACGCTAAACCCAGTACGCTGCTGAGATACGTTTGCCAGAGCCGCAGTGCTGGTCATTTCTGAGGTATTTTGGGAATGCCAGAGGTTTGCTGAACCTGAAATGTGAGTTTGGTTTGTTTTGTGGCTTCTTCTATACACCCCAGAAGCAGATAAGGGGAATCGTTAGGAGGGCCCTAAACCCTAAACCCTAAACCCTAAACGAGGGTTCCAGGGGTGTAGGGGTTAAGCTTGCAGCTTTAGGGTCAGCGTTTGGGGAGGCTTTGTCGTGTTAGGAGGACCCCCCACCTTGCAATAGTGGTATCATAGGAATATCAGCGGACCCTAAGATAAACCTTATCATCATTTATAGCCACCATTACTCGGTGGGGGATCCGCGCAAATGTAGACTTGGCTCTTGAACGTAAGCAACCCTAAACCCTAAATCGGAGAGGTTTCGCTCGACCGCAAGCCTCCGCATCTGCCAATGCAATAGCTTCTACGTACTGGCGGTTAGTAGGGAAATAAGGGTTTAGGGGTGTAGGGTTTAGGGTATAACCCTCTCCCCCTAATATTAACCCCCCCCCCCACCCCCCCCAATATTAAATACTCCCAGTATATGATGCTACAATGGGGAGTATTCAATATTGGGGGTGGGGGGGGGGGGGTGGGGGGGGGTTTAATATTAAGGGGGCTTAGGGTTTAGGGGTGAGGGTTTAGGGTTTAGGGCTTAGGGTTTAGGGCCCAAGAAGCGTTAGGTTAGTGATTAGGACTTAAGGTTTAGGCTTGTATGCCCTAAGATTCCCTAGCGATCCTAGGCTACCCCCTTTGCACCCAACCCTTCTTTAAAAATCATGGTGTTCTGGAATTTCATTTTTGCGGCCTTGCGTTAAGGTTCCCCAAGCCCCAAGCCCTAACTCCAAAACCTTTAACCTTCGAGGCTTTGGGCTCCAGGGTGTAAGCTTTCTGATTTTGGGCATGAAGTGTACCTGGAGTACAGACACAGAAGATACCTGGTACGTAACGTGCAACACTCTCTTTTGTGGTTACATTGGTCATTCCACTTGGGGCTCGAGATTCTGACTTGAGGTTGCAAGACTGGCTTTGGAAAAAAGCTTTCAAAGAGGAATGATAAGGAGATGATAGCTACTTCCCGGGCCCTAATAGTGGTTTAGTGTTTAAGGGTTTGGAAGTCTGTTCAGCTAAACTTACCTTGGGAGTACAAGTGGATAACATTCCTGATTGTTTGTTGCAGGGGGGTTCTGGAAAGCTTCTGTGGGATTGCAAACCCTAAAACCCTAAACCCCCTAAACCCTAAAACCCCCCGAAGAACGGGGGCAGGATGCTAGGATGCAGCTGGAGGATTAGCCGTCCATCCTGACGACCTAGGATTTAGGATCGTGGTTTAGGGTTTAGGATTTAGGCTTTAGGTTTAGGATTTAGGCCTTAGGGTTTAGGGTTTAGGATTTAGGGTTTAGGGTCTAGGGGATATTTTCTGGATTGATTCCAGCGATCACTGATCCGGAGCTCCACGACTCAGCTCGTCCATGGTCCTTGGAGCTCCCCTCGCGAAGTAAGTCAACTCAGGCCCCCACAGCCTTGACCGCATAGATGCGGAGTTTAGGTTTAGGGTTTATAGGTTTTAGGTTTTAGGGTTTAGGGTTTAGGGATTAGGGTTTAGTGTATGGAGCCCGCATCTTCCTAGGCTATCCGTGTGCTGGTGACCTCGTGTCTCCCCCCAAGCCTCCATGTTTTCAGCTCTTCCAATACTTAGACTTACTTGGGGATGGTGGGGAACAAGGGAATATGTCATGTAGGGATTTTTATAGGGGTTAATCCCCTCCCCTAAGCCCTAAACCCTAGCCCTAAACTCATGGCATGGGCCGCCCACCTTTGATGGTGGGCGACGCTGCCCTTCCGCATCGAGGGCGCAGGTTAATCCAACAAGCTCGCCTGCCTTCCCACAGCCAGGGGTACAGATCCCTCCAAAGTCTCCCAGCCCTTTCAGGGGCCTCCTAGGCCTGGGCCTTCCAGGGCCTTGTCGGGCCGCCGAGTTTATTTATCAAGCAACCTCCCAAACAGCCTTTCGAAGCCTTTTAAGGGGCCTTCCAGAACGTCCGGGCCGCCCTTGATATTATGGAGACCCCTATAGAGAATTTTCGTTTCGACAGACGGCAAGTTGCTGTTGGAGCTGCATCCCGCCAGTTTTCAGATTCCTGTCGGAGCCTGATGGACAAGTGTCGAAGGCTGTTCCAGTCCAGTCAGGCACCAGATTTTCGAGTGGGTGATCTCTACATGTTCAGAGCTGGCAGTACCATTCGTCCTTCATGATGAACAACTCCAAGGCTGTGGAGTTCACGGCCCATCTTCCCAGGTTCGGGAGGGCCTCCCACCCTGCAGGGTTGCAAGGGCTCAAAGCCCGCAGACTTCCAGCCTTTCTCAGGGGTGTTCCAAATACCTTCGCTTTTTCGGGGAGGCCTAGCAACGGGATCCTGAAGCCCTGAGCCGTTCCAGAAACCCAGTCTTGAGACGAAGTAATTATGTTGCTGAAAAAAAGTTAATGACCATGATGGACCTAACT